TGGATGGATAGATGGATGGATGGGTGGATGGATGAGTGGGTGGGTGGATGGATGGATGGAGAAATGAATGGGCAGGGAGAAAACTACCAACACGGGAGCTTAGGTGGGTTCGAGAACCTCCCGCACATCCTGGGAATGAAAATCACATGTCATAGGCACTGCACTGGTTCTCAGACAAAGCAAATAACTGGGACTACATCTCTCCCTCAAAATGCATCTTGGGCTTGGCTGAGAATCTTCTGGTCAGGTTGGTTTCCTCCCATCTCCTGCACTCCTATTCCCACCCCCAACTTTGCCCAAGCTGGGATATTACACTAAAAGGGCCCCCAGCCCTGCCACCTCCCTGAGCCTTCCACCAGAATCATGTCTGGAACCAGTCGGGACCATAGAAAACACGGAGTCCAGGAGAGTCACCCATCCCAGGTCACATGCTCGTGCACAGACACCCACCCAATCTGACACCACGGTCTTGTTCAACATACCTACTGTGTGTCAAGCCCCATGCTGAGCCCTGGGAACATAGCTAGGACCCAAGCTATGTTCTATTCATCTGTTGGAAGCTACCAGCAAGCGTCAAGAAAAGGTGTAATGACTAAGATAATTTCAGCTGGTGGTAAGTGTAAAGAGGAAGGCACAGCTGTGGGGCACAGTGTCAGGCAGGCTGGCGGCCAGGGTGGGCTTCTGCGAGGAGGAAATATCTAAACAGGGACTGAAGGAGGAGCCAGCCAGAAGATACAGGAAAGGCTGTACCAATCGGTGAGAACAGTGTGTACAAAGGTCCTGGGGCAGGAATGTGTTTGAGGAGTTCAAGAACAGAAAGAGGTCATCTGTGCATGCCCATCTCTCCTCACCCCCCGAGGGGGCTCCCACAAACCCCCTAACCCTGCACACACCCACACACGCTCACACAGGCAGTACCTCAGGGCTATGTCATGATAGGGGTTGGACTCCATACCGAATGCGAACTCCTCATCCTCAGCTCTGCAAGAGACAGAGAGGTGAAGGTGAGTGAAGGGAAGGAGGTCGCCTTCAGAGTCTCCCCTGGCTGAGGCACATGAACCCCACAAAGCAGGGTGGCTGGGCTGCATGGCTGTCCCAGACCTTGAGGCTGTGAGGCCTGTCTGAGCAGGAGCAGGGAAATGGGGAGACAGGAGGGAGGGGACCAGAGAGCGTCAGGAAGCAGGAGGGGTGCCCAGCACTTTGGGGAGAAGAGGAGGACAGGGACAGTGGCTGTGGGGAGTGGGGAGAGGGGTTCCCACCTCTTTCTGGAGCACCAGACGCGATTAACCAGCATGAGGACGAAGACGATAAACAGGTACCCCACGACGGCAGCCAGGCCCACCAGCCAGGGCTTCAGGCGATACTGCGAGGCTGTCCGGAGGTAGAGCAGCTGGGACTCAGAGATGGGGCCAGGCCAGGGGTCTGAGCCCCCCGGAAGGGGAGAGGGGAAGGGTGATGGGGAATGCTGATGGAGTGCTGGGTGTCAGAGACCCGTTCTAGAGAATGGGAGGGGCCTGGGAGCATCTCAGGGATGGGGAGAGAGGCCCCAAGGGAGTGTGGGGATTGGTGGGGCTCCAAGAGGGGTCTGGCCCCATTCCTCCTCTGCCTGCCCCTCCTTTCAGAGGTCTTGGTTCCTCATAATGAAAAATGGGGAGACGGTGAGCCTATGGGTGAGCTCCTCCCAGGACCCTCCCCACCCCTGTCCCCCGCCGACCGCCCCACCAGGTCCAGATCAGGTCCTACCCTGCTGAGCCTCTGCAGGTGACAGGAGCAGGGCGCTGAGTAGGAGAAGGACCTCCAGGGTCTCCATGGTCATGGAAGAGCCGCGGCGGTGCACGGTCAAGGTTGGCTGAGTGAGGCCCTGCCCAGCCCCTGATATGGCAGCAGGCAGGCCTAGGGGCGGGGCCGGTCCAGACCTGCAGGTCAGACTCTGGACCTGGTATAACAATTAACGCAGGAGTCCGGCCCCTCCACCCTGTGCCTGCCCCAGGACCCAGCCTCCAGGTCCCCCAGGCTCCGTGCTGCTGTGGCCAGGCTGAGATGGGCCTGGGCTTGGGGCCACCAGGCGTCCTTATGTCTCCTTCTCTGAACACCCCACAAAGGGTCTCCATCCCCATTTTGCAGAGAAGCCCAAGGAGGCCAGGAGAACGGACATCACGCAGAAACAGCTGGCGCTGGGGTCTCCCCCCTACCACCAGCTTATATGGCCATGTCCTGGCTCCCGGACCCCTGGGGACCCACAGCCAATACTGGGATGAGCACAGGGACAAGAAATGACGGCCACGTGCCCACTATCCATCTCCAAGCCCAGCCACGCCTTGATGGTGGGAGAATGGGACACCCAGGTAGCTGATGACTCAGGCTCCAGGCTCTCCTGTCCATCAACCTTGGTCCCTAGCTGATTAGATAGGGAACCCTGCCCAGGAGAAAGAGTGCCCCACCCCAGCTGCCACCGGACAGCCACGTCCCAGGCACGTGGCAGGAAGCCCCTATACCGGAGGGGGGGCTCCCCCTCCTGCTCTGCAGGGCCCTCAGGGGCTGGGAGGGGTGCCAGCATCACTGCACACACCTTTAAGGAGCACCTATGCATATCTGGGGACTCCCCCCACCCTAAGGTCTGGCTATCATCATTGCTCAGTGGGCCATCAGGAGTGGCGGACCTCAGGCAGCTGCCCGAAGCGATCCCATCTCAACCCCCCAAGTGGCGCCTGCGAAGCTCTGACCCTGTGCCCAGTCCTGTGCCCAGCTCAGAGGGGAGGGAGGAAGCCTCAGGCACTGTCCTCCAGGAGCTCTTGAGTTAGCTGGGAAGCCAGGAGCCCCCAGAGACCAACAGGTCCAGTGGGCAGAACAGCAGAGCTGGGGGGTGTAAGGGAGGAGGTGGGGGGTGGGGCTGGTGCAGATTCGGTGGAGCAGGGCCAGAACCCCATCCTGGGGCTCCTGCTTTCCTTCGAAGGCAGGTCATGGAACTGGCCTCTTTCTGCAATAAGTTCGCTCTGCTCCAGGCAAGTCATCTCCGCGCTTTGTGCCTCCATGTTCCCACCTGGTAAGTGGGAGCGAAAAGTCCTGGCCAGTGGGGATTAAACAGCGTAATATGTGGAAAAGGCTCACTGAGCACAAGAGCAGGGACAGACTAAGGCCTGGGTTACCACTGTTACTCTTTGAAAATCGAGCAGAGGTTGGGCGGAATCGGGCTCTGGGGCTACCGGGTCGGGGTGCGCAGGAGTGCAGAGAGTCCCAGGGATCAACCGTGGGAACCCGCCAGCCAAGAAAGACAACGTTCTCTGCCAAGTCCAGCTGCTCAGGGGAGCAAGGGATCCCGCATGCACAAGTCCTGTCCACACAACATCTAAAGGGGTTCAAACCCAGGCCCCGGGGCCGGAGGGCAGGGCCCGGCTCAGCCCAGCCTCCAGAAGGAGCTCCGAGCAGGCGGGTCCTTGAAGGCAATGGAAGAGCGGCGGGGAGCCGGGGCGGGGGCTTCTGCAGGGGCCATATCGCCACCCCCGGCAGGGTCCTCATCACCCCGCCAGGCCAGGGCCAGCTGGAGGTCGAGCTCCTCCAGATCCTCGCCCTCCAGGCTCGAGCGCAGCTCCCGGGGGGCGTCCTCCTGGTCTGGCTTCGAGCCAAAGGCCCAGTCTGCAATAGGACACTGGTGAGGAACCTCCTGGGGCTCATCCATCTTCTGTCCCCTCCCCGGCTGCAAGGGGCCCTGGAGTGCCCCCCCACACCTGAGAGTGGCCCAACACTGTCCCAAGCCAGGCTCATGGCAGACAGCAGCTCACCCACCAGCCAGGTCGTGGGCGAGGTCCTTGATGAGATGCCCCACAATGGCATAGGCCACGGCCACCACCAGGAACGCCGCCAGCAGCAGGTACAGCGCATACCTGGGCAGGCGGATGGTATCCAGAGGTGGTGGGCGGTACTCCTCATACAGCGGTGGGGTCGGGCTCCAGCCCTCCATCCCCTCCTCGACTGCTGGCCCTGACATGATGGCCACCCAGAGCAGGAGAGGCCCGGAGGTGACCTGCGTTGCGGAAGTATTTAGGGGCTTTGGGTAAGAGGATTGGGGCTCCTCCAAGGCCACCATCTGCCTGGATTAATCACAGCGCAAATCGCTTCCGCCCAGCGCCCCCCCCCATTTGGCTACTTTGCATATCCATCCCCACCCCAGGGCCTTTGCTTGAGCTGTTTGGTCTCCTGGGAAAATCCCTACCTTCATGGAGATGACATTCAAGATAACCTTAGAGTAAGTGATGTATTGGGTTAGAAAGTGAAGAGTGTTGCTGGGGTGGCTCAGTCAGTTGGGCTTCTGACTCGTGATTTCAGCTCAGGTCATGATCGTGGGTCATGGGATCGAGGGGGAAGTCGGGTTCCGCACTCAGCAGGGAGTCTACTTCTCTCCCTTTCCCTCTGCCCCTTCCCCACCGCCCTGCTTACGCACGTGTGTGCATATGTGTGTGCGCACTCTCTTTCTAACATCAATAAATAAAATCTAAAAAAAAAAAGTGGTATTGGGGTGGTGGTACCAAGGTCTAAGGGTTGGGACTACTAAGAGGGGAGTCCAAGCTTAAAATAGGGTGTCCAAGGCCATATGGAAATACATGTGAGCAGAGACCCAGAGGAGGAAGGGAAGCAGGTATGGGAGTACCAGGGGGAAGAAGAGTCCAGGCAGAGGGCACAGCACGTGCAAAGGCCCTGGGGAAGGACTGAGCCTGGTGTGTTGGAGAAGAGTAAGGAGGCCTGTGTGCCTGGAGCAGAGTAAGCAACAAGGCCAGAGGGAGGAGAGGTCAGGGAGCCCCGCCCCCCACCCGCGGCAGCATCCAACCACGTTAGGAATGATGCGGATTTACACTGTGTATGAAGAGCTTCGTACCATGGCTGGTGTGCAGCGGGTGTTCAGTTCATTCAAATACAGATTGGGCACTTTCTGCTCCAACTCACAACCTGGCAAGTCATGCAGGGCCTTGGGGGTCAGGGGAGAATTTGAGCTTTTATCCTGACGGAGGTGGTAGCCCTGGAGGGCTGTGGGCAGAGGAGGGCGGGGCCTGGCTCACTGGCCCACAGGTGGCCTCTGGTGGCCGCTGCGGAGATGACAGACGCTGAGGGGTGAGGACCGCAGCCAGGAAGGCAGGCTGAAAGGGACTGCGCCCGTCCCGGTGAATGAGCGGGGCTGGACACCCCTCACCCCGAGGCGTAAGAGGGGCTACACTTTACTATTTTTTCCGATTTTTTTCCTTGCCACTACAAACAATGCTGCAAACGGTGCTTCTTTTCCACTTTCCGAAGTTAGAACACTTCTCACGTGTGCTTCCCTGGTCAGAGCACTTCGGGCTTCTCTGCGTCAGAGTACAAGCCAAGTCCTTCTTAAGTCTGGTGTCTCTCCCCCAACCAACCCCAGGGCTCTTTCCCGCACCTGCCAGGTGTTTACTCGCACGTCACCACCTGAGCCCCTGGCCGCGCCTCCTAAGACTTCTCATCGCCCTTGAACTATACGGCTTAACAGGTGTCACCCCCTGCCATGAATTTTCCGTATTTATTGCTCGTCTGACTCCCTCAGACAACCAGGTTGTGAGGTTTTCGAGGGTAAGGATGGCAGGCTGTCTCGTCCTCAGCCCCCATCAACTATTTGTTAAGTGAACGGTGAACGAGCGACTCCATCGGGTCGGAAAAAAAGGACCGGCGTCCTCCCTTCCCCGGCTGGAGTCCAGGCACCTGACGCCGTCGGCCACGCCCCCCGAACTCGACCTTGCCCCAGGACCGCGGCGCCTGCTCCGTCGCTACCCCGCGCCGGGCTCCGGACTGAATTGGCACAAACCATTTTCACGTACCTGGGGGGAGAGAGTGGAAAGGAATGCCTTCCGCGGAAAGAGTGGACGTTGCCCTTCCCTTCCCTGAGGGACGCCCTTAGACGTCATCTTCTGTGTGAGTGTGAGCTATGGCACCGATGCCGACTCGTGCTCCTAGACCTCCCTCCTGCCGCGGAGTCTCTGGCTGGACACCCCCCACCAGCGCGGCGTTGGTGCCGGCCAGCCCGGTCACGTGGGCGAGAAAATGGCGGCCCCCACAGGGCGCCGCGAGTGTCGCAGTTGGTGAGTTGAAGGTGGCGGCGGTGAGAGCGGGTGGACTCGGCGGTCTCATCCTCCCGGAGCTCGTTTGGGCGTTTCGGCGGCAGGGAGCACGGTGCGTGGCCTGGGCCACGCGGGCAGGTACGGTGCGGGGGACGCCTCGTGGGGAGGTCCCGTCTCTAGGATTGATTGGTTGGGGAGATCGGGGGGCATCCTCCTGAGGGGTTTCGAGTCCCGGCGAGCTCTTTCCCCAGGTTCTGGGGACCCTGTTTCGGGATCCAGTACTTGGGGGCCCGCGTAGACAGATCTTGAGGCATCCGGTAACTCGGGGTCTCTCCCAAGGGGAGGGATCCTGCGAGCATGCCTGGGGGGATCCTGTGTTGGGACGATCTCTTTCTGGGGGAGAGTTGGTTCCCAGAGATGTTTTTGTTGGGAATTCTTAGACAGGTCTCGGGTGGGGGCGGGAGGTCAAGGAGCCCGGTCTCCTCTTTCTCCGTCCCTTACTAGCTCATCCAGAAGCTTTTATAGGGGTGAGCGGATTCCAGATTCTGCTTTGGTTAGGGGCTGATCCCCTCAACCCCACGCCCACACCCTTGCCCTGCTTACCACTGAAGAACGTGCTAAAGGTATGAGCCGTGGGCTTCCAGGAGGCTAGGGGAGCCCTCCTTGGTACAGAGAGGTAGGTTTGGGGCTCCCTGCAGGAACATTTAATACTAGCTCTGGTCTGTCAAGTACATACTAGGTGCTCCGTGAACACGCCTTTTTTTTTCCTTTCTTTCTTTTTTTAAGATTTTAGTTTTTAAGTAATCTCTACACG